TATATATATATATATATATATATATATATATATATATATATATATATATATATATATATATATATATATATATTTCATAACGAAGTTAATGGGTGCTCGAGCACCCGGCGGACACCATGTGGGTCCGCCCCTGTAAAAACTGTATCGTTAAATGAGAAAAACTCAGTGTAAAGATTTATTCTTTATTGATAGTATTTCACATACTAAAATCATATGTCATTTGTGATAGAAAAAATGACTAATTCAAGTCAAGTAATTTTTGGAATAGTGAGTGCTGCAACAATAAGTGTTGTAACAACATTGGTTGAAAACAATCGTTCAACTGTTGCCCTAGCATCAGTTGAGAAACCTTCAAAGTTTTCTGGAGTCGACTTCATGAGATGGCAGCAGAAGATGTTCTTCTATCTCACTACGTTGAGTCTGCAGAGGTTCAGTAATGAGAATGTTCCTGTTATGTCGGGAACTCCGCCTGAAGAACGATTCTTTGTAACACAAGCATGGACACACTCAGATTTACTGTTTACAAATTATATTATGAGTGGCCTGCAAAATGATCTATACAATGTGTACAGTAATGTCAAAATCTCAAAAGAATTCTGAGATGCTTTAGAAAAGAAGTACAAAACATAGGATGCCGGAATGAACAAGTTTATTGTGAATTTTTTTTTACTATAAGATTATAGACGGTAAGACTGCCGTCACTCAAGTTCAAGAGCTGCAGATCATAATCCATGATCTCCTTGCTGAAGGTATAAATTTATTTAATGCGTATGTTGTAAATATTAAGTTTATTCTTAATACTTACGTAATCTTTAACGTAGGATTGATTGTGAATTATGCTTTCAAGTGGCTGAAGTGGCTGCCATAATTGAGAAGTTACCTCCATTGTAAAAGGACTACAAAAACTACTTGAAACATAAGCGCAAGGAGATGACTGTTGAACATCTCATAGTAACCTTGAGAATCGAAGAGGATAACAAGACTGTAGAAAAGAAGTCACGTGGTAATTCAGCAATATCTAGAGTAAATATTGTTAAAGAAGATCCCACAAAATTAAAGAAAACAAAGAAAACATCTGGTCCCAAAAGCAATCCTCCTAAGACGAAATTCAATGAAAGTTGCTTCAATTATGGCAAACGTAATCATAGGACTATTGAATGCCGAGGTCCTAAGAAGGACAAGAAGAATACGCATCCAAAAAATTTGGTTGAATCAAAAGCAGAAATGGATGATCTCTATGCAATGCTTTCAGAATGTTACTTGATCGGAAATCGAAGAGAATGGTGGATAGATTCTTGTGCCTCATGTCATGTTTGTGCCAACAAAGAATTTTTTTCATCATATACTCCAGCACCTACAGTTGAGAAGTTATTTATGAAAAACTTCGTTGTTTCAAAAGTGGAAGGCACTGGCAAAGTCCTATTAAAGATGACATCAAGTAAGGTGGTGACATTGAACATGGTATGTATGTCCTGAAATTGCGAAAGAATTTCATTTATATTCGAGTTCTGACTAAAAATGGATTCAAATATGTATTTGTTTCTGCTAAAGTAGTAGTGAGTAAGAATGAAATGTATGTAGGAAAAGGTTACCTCGATGGCCTTTCCAAACTCAATGTAATTGAAGTTGATATGAATAAAAGATTATGCTTCTTCTTACTTGCTTGAGTCTAAATGTTTATGGCATGAACATTTGGGACACGTTAATAACAACACCTCGCGAAAATGGATTAACTTAAATGTTTTGCCAAATTTTGAGTGCAATAAATCAAAATGTCAAATTTGCATTGAATCTAAGTATGCTGAGCATCCTTATAAATCTGTTGAAAGGATTTCAAATCCCTAAGAACTGATTCACACTAATATTTGTGATATGAAGTCAACATCATTGCGTGGTGGAAAAAAATATTTCATAACTTTTATTGACAATTGCACTAGATATTGTTATGTTTATTTGCTAATTGGTAAGGATGAAAAAATAGATATATTTAGACAATATAAAATAGAAGTTGAAAATGACTTGTATAGAAAGATCAAAATGATGAGAATTGATAGAGGCGGAGAATATGAATCCATTTGCAGAAATATGTTTGGAAAATGGAATAATCGATCAAACTACTTCTCCTTACACTCCTCAATCCAATTGGATTGCAGAAAGGAAAAACCGAACTTTAATGGAAATTATGAATGCCTTACTTATAAGTTCAGGTTTACCACATAACTTGTGGGCAGAATGCCTTACTTATAAGTTCATTTTACCACAACACTTGTGAGGGGAAGCTATTCTTACAGCAAATTGTATACTTAATAGCTCACACAAAGACAAGTGTTATTCTATAAGAGAAATGGAAAGGTAGAAAACCCAACTTTAAATCTTTCAAAGTGTGGGGTTGCCTAGCCAAAGTCCAAGTTCCTTTACCTAAAAGGGTGAAAATAGGGCCAAGATTGTGGATTGTTATTCATTGGATATGCCACAAATAGTAAGGCATGTCGATTTTTGATTCATAAGTCTGAACATCCGGATATTCATGATAATACGGTAATGAAATAAGATAATGTTGAATTTTTTGAACATATTCATCCCTATATAACTAGACTTGAGTCATCTAGTTGGGGGGGGGGGTCTAAACAGCCCTTAGAATAACCAAAAGAGAATGAAACCAATGAAGAGAGTCCAAGGCGCAGTAAACGTCAAAGGACAACTAATTCATTTGGATCTTACTTTGTAACATTCCATCTTGAAAGTTAGACTCAAACATTCAAGGAAGAAATATTGTCTAGCGAATCAAACTCTTAGAAGGAGGTTGTCAATAGTGAGATTGAATCAATCCTAAGAAATCATACGTGGGACTTGGTTGATCTTCCTCCAATGAACAAACCATTGGGTTCAAAATGAATCTTTAAAAGAAAGATGAAAGATGATGAAAATATTGATAAATATAAATAAAGACTTGTTGTCAAAGGCTTTAGACATAAAGAAGGTCTTGAATATTTTGACACATACTCGCCAATGAGCAAGATTACATCAATTCAGATGTTAATTGCCCTAACTACAATATACGATCTTGAAATTCATCAAATGGATGTAAAAACCACCTTATTAAATGTAGTGTTGGAGGAAGAAATTTACACGGAACATCTTGAGGGTTTTGTAGTTTCTGGTAAAGAACAGAAAGTGTGCAAACTTATTAAGTCACTTTGTGGACTAAAACAAGCACCAAAACAATGACATGCAAAGTTTGATTAAACCACGTTATCAAATGGATTTAAGATCAATGAATGCGATAAATGCGTTTAGATTAAATATATACCTAATTAGGAAGTCATTGTATGCCTATATGTGGATGACATGCTGATAATGAGCAAGGACATTGCCAATGTATAAGCTACTAAGCGTATGCTTGCTAGTATGTTTGATATGAAAGATCTAGGAGTTGCTGATGTGATATTGGGAATAAAGATTCTCAAAACTTCTAATGGTCTAGCATTGTCTTAAACTCATTATATTCAAAAGATACTTAAAAATTTCAAGTATTTGAATTTCAAAAGGCAAAGACCCCAATTAATGTGCACCATCATCTTGCAAAGAATAAAGATGAAAGTCGGTCTCAATTGTACTATGTCTGAGTGTTGGGAAGTTTGATGTATGTCATGAACATAGCTTGCGCTATCAGTAAACTAAGTCGATACACAAGTAATCCCAATAAAAATCATTACTTGACAATGAAGACAGTTTTGAGATACTTAGATGACACTAAAAGAAACTAAGTTTTGCATTACAAAAAATATCCAGTAGTTCTTGAAGGATATAGTCCCGAAAATTGGACTACTGGATCAACTGAAACAAAA